TTATTTCAGCTAGAATAAAAGCAGTTTTAATTGTTTTAAACTATGTTAAGGTCAATATTATTCGCCGCCTTAAGCAATGTTTGTTTTGGATAGTCTCCAGAACAAACCACTGTTATACAATGACTTGCCTAATTACCCTAACTTCACCCTAATTAACCTAGTTAAGCTTTTAAATGTCACTTTAAGCTGAATACTAGTATACTGAAGAATATCTAGTCTAATATTAAGTGCTGTCATCATTGCAAAGATAAACAAACACAGTGTATGTTTAAAGCGTACCAATGAACTCCTTGCGCATCTTGTCTCTCTGCTGCAGGCCGTCGGCGCTGAAGATCAGGGCGTTTATGACACTCAGAAGAGTCACCATGTAAGGCACATTATCAGTGGACCGAAGCTCATTCATGATCACACTGAAGCGATACTGCTGCGTCTTCACACACTGACACACAAACACAACACACACACACTTTATAGTGGATTTTTTTCAGACACAACTTTAGAGCTAAGGCTAACATCAGTGATCTAAAACAGAATACAAATATGGTCATGTAATTTGTAACTGATTGATTGGCACAAAAGTAATCCAAATGTAATTCAAAATCAGATTACATTACCATAAATGTATAATCTAACATATCATATTACTGACTACACATTTTTGCCATGCAATTTGTAATCCAAATGTAATCCAAAAGTAGTCAGATTACAAATTAATGCAATCTTTAATTAGTAACTGATTGGTTAGCACAAAAGTAATCTAAATGTAATCCCAAAGTGGTCCAATTACATTACCATAAATGTATGATCTAAAAGATTATTTTGCTTACTACAAAATGTGTCATTCATTCATTTTCTTGTCAGCTTAGTCCCTTTATTATTAATCCGGGGTCGCCACAGCGGAATGAACTGCCAACTTAACCGGCAAGTTTATGCCCTTCCAGCCACAACCCATCTCTGGGAAACAAATTGTGTCATTTAATCTGTAATTAGTAATGGATTGTTTAGCACAAAAGTAATCTAAAAGTAATCCAAAATAAGAATAAATTACCATAAATATATAATCTAACAAAATATACTGGCTACACATTTTGTCATGCAATTTGTATTTACCAACTACTTGGTGAGCGCAAAATAATGTTAATGTAATCCAAAAATAGTTTGATTACATTTCCATAAATGGATCATCTAACATTATATTTTTATGACTAGAAATTTTGTCTTGTAACTTGTAACAGATATATAAGAATATATTCCAAAAGTAGCCATATTAAGCTACCATAAATGAATAATCAAAGAGATTATATTAATATACATTTTGTCATGCAATTTGTATTTAGTACCTGCCTGGTTACACAAAAAAAATCTAAATGTAATCCAAAAGTAGTCAGATTACATTACTTAAAATGTATAATCTAACAGTTTATATTACTGCCTATTAATTTTGTCCTGTAACTTGTAATCAGTAACTGCCTGCATAGCACAAAAGTAATCTAAATGTAATCCCAAAGTGGTCCAATTACATTACCATAAATGTATGATCTAAAAGACTATTTTGCTTACTACAAAATGTGTCATTCATTCATTCATTTTCTTGTCAGCTTAGTCCCTTTATTATTAATCCGGGGTCGCCACAGCGGAATGAACCGCCAACTTATCCGGCAAGTTTATGCCCTTCCAGCCACAACCCATCTCTGGGAAACAAATTGTGTCATTTAATCTGTAATTAGTAATGGATTGTTTAGCACAAAAGTAATCTAAAAGTAATCCAAAATAAGAATAAATTACCATAAATATATAATCTAACAAAATATACTGGCTACACATTTTGTCATGCAATTTGTATTTACCAACTACTTGGTGAGCGCAAAATAATGTTAATATAATTTAAAAATAGTTTGATTACATTTCCATAAATGCATCATCTAACATTATAATTTAATGACTCGAAATTTTGTCTTGTAACTTGTAACAGATATATAAGAATATATTCCAAAAGTAGCCATATTAAGTTACCATAAATAAATAATCAAAGAGATTATATTAATATACTTATATTATTTTGTCATGCAATTTGTATTCAGTACCTGCCTGGTTACACAAAAGAAAATCTAAATGTAATCCAAAAGTAGTCAGATTACATTACTTAAAATGTATAATCTAACAGTTTATATTACTGCCTATTAATTTTGTCCTGTAACTTGTAATCAGTAACTGCCTGGATAGCACAAAAGTAATCTAAATGTAATCCAGAAGTAGTCAGATTACATTACCATAAATGTATAATCTAAGATATTATATTATGACTACAAATTTGAACATGCAATTTGTAATTAGTAACTGTATACTTGTAATTTGTAATTAGTAACTGTATACTTGTAATTTGTAATTAGTAACTGTATACTATTAGTAACATTTTATAATTTAACAGATTATATTACAGACTACAAATTTTGCTATGTAATTAGTAACTGATTTGTTAGCACAAAAGTAATCTAAACGTTATCCAAAAGTAGTCAGATTACGTTACCATAAATGTATAATCTAAGCGATTATTCGTTCATTCATTTTCTTTTCGGATTAGTCCTTTCATTATTCTGGGGTCGCCACAGCGGAATGAACCGCCAACTTATCCAGCATATATTTTACACAGCAGATGCCCTTCCAGCTGCAACCCATCACTGGAAAACAACCATACACACTCATTCACACACATACACTATGGGCAATTTAGCTTACTCAATTCACCCTACACCGCATGTCTTTGGAATTTTGGGGGAAACCGGAGCACCCGGAGGAAACCCACGTGAACTCGGGGAGAACATGTAAACTCCACACAGAAATGCCAACTGACCCAGCCGAGGCTTGAACCAGCGACCTTCTTGCTGTGAGGAGACAGCATTACCTACTGCGCCACTGCGTCGCCCTCTAAGAGATAATATTAATATAAATTTTGCCATGTAATTTGTAGTCAGTAACTGCCTAGCTTGCACAAGAAAATCTAAATGTAATCCAAAAGTAGTCAGATTACGTTACTATGAATGTATAATCTAACAAATTATATCACTGATTACACATTTTGTCATGCAATTTTTGAGTAGCATTTACCTGGTTAGAACAAAGTAATCTAAATGTAATCCAAAAGTAGTCTGATTACATTACCATAAATTGATAACATGTGAAATTTCATGACTGATTACACTTTTTTGTCACTTAATATGTAATTAGTAATAGATTAGTTAGCACAAAAGTAATCTAAATGTAATCCAAAAGTATTCAGATTACCATAAATGTAAATATTACTGACAACAAATTTTGCCATGTAATTAGGAACTGCTTGGTTACCCCAAAAGTAATCTAAATGTAATTTAAAGCAGCCCAATTACATCACCATAAATTTATAATCTAAAGATTATTTTACTAACAACTAGTTTTGTCATTTAACATGTAATTAGTAAAGGATTGGTTAGCACAAAAGTAATCTAAATGTAATCCAAAACCAAATTACATTCCCATAAATTTGTAAACTAAAAAATCATATCACTGACTCACATTTTGTCATGCAATTTGTATTTAGCAACTGCTTGATGAGCACAAAAGTAATCTAAATGTAATCCAAAAGTAGTCCAATTTACATTACTTTAAATGTATGATCTAACAGTTTATAATACTGCCTATTCATTTTCTCATTTAACTTGTAATTAGTAACTGCTTAGTTAGCACAAAGTGATCTAAATGTAATCCAAAAGTAATCCAATTACATTACCATGAATGTATAATCTAATAAATTATATCACTGATTACACATTTTTGTCATGCAATTTTCGATTAGCATTTGCTTGGTTAGCACAAAAGTAATCTAAATGTAATCCAAAAGTAGTCAGATTATATATCATAAATGAGTAATATAAGTATTTTCATTACTGATTACAATTTTTGTCACTTAATATGTAATTAGTAATTGATTAGTTAGCACAAAAGTAATCTAAATGTAATCCTATAAGTATTCAGATTACCATAAATGTATACATTTTGCCATGTAATTAGCAACTGCTTGGTGAGAACAAAAGTAATATAATGTAATCCAAAAGTAATCAGACTACATTACCATAAATGTATAATCTAAAAAATTATTTCACTGACTTCACATTTTGTCATGCAATGTGTATTTAGCAACTGCTTGGTGAGAGTAAAAGTAATCTAAATGTAATCCAAAAGTAGCCCAACTAAGTTACAATAAAATTATAATAAAAGTCCTGCCATGTAATTAGTAATCAGCAACGGATTACACTTTATAAGTAGAGTTAAGGTCACACTTGCCTTGTAGTGCTCCAGGGCATCCAGAGCGAGTCTGTGTCCCTCAGAAGAGAACATGCTGAGGGCCGCCAGCAGCTCAAACACCTGCTTTTTCACCATAGTGTTGGACGTATCCAAAGCTGGAGGGAAAGGGAAAGGAAAAGTCCTGTTTTTAGCTTTCTCCTCCATCGCTTCAGCTTCCTCCTCCATGACTCTCCACTTCTGAAAGTGTTAGCAGCTATTTTTTGAGGGAACTACGTGAACTTTGCACTTCTGATGGTCAGAAAAAACAGTCCAAGCATGTGATAGGTGTGAAGATTGAGCAATGGAGATACTGTGAGCTCCTGCTTTGGAGGAATGTGTGTTTTCTGCATTTATCTGGATAGTTTGTACACAGATTTAAAGGGACAGTCAAACAACCAGAATTCTGTAACTACTAGAACTAGCATATGGGTCATTTTGTCTGTTCTCATATAAGGTGTCATATTGTAAAAGTAATCTAAATGTAATCCAAACATAGTCAGATTACATTTCCAAAAAATTTGGTTTTAAAATTATATTACTGACTACAATATAGAATGTAATCCAAAGGTATTCTGATTACGTAATTATAAATGTAAAATCTACAAGATTATTTAACTACAAATGTTGTCATGCAATTTTTAATTAGTAACTTATTAAATAGCACAAAAGTAATCTAAATATAATCCAAAAGTAGTCCAATTACACCATTACCATAAATGTATCATCTAAGAGATTATATTATGATTACAAATTGTATCATGCAATTTATAATTAGTAACTGACTAGTTAGCACAAAAGTAATCTAAAAGTAATTCAAATGTAATCAAATTAAATTACTTTATTTTAAATGTATAATCTAACAGTTTAAACTATTGCCTATTAATTTTGTCATGTAACTTGTAATTAATAACTGATTGGTATGTACAATAGTAATCTAACCAATAATATGTACAAAAGTAATCTAACTGTAATCCAAAAGTAGTTTGATTATGTTATCATAAATAAATAATAAAGAGATTTTATTACAGACTAAAAAATTGTTCACTTAATGTGTAATTAGCAATGGAATGGTTAGCAAAAAGTAATCTAAATGTAATCCAAAAGTAGTCAGATTACAAAACTTTAAATGTATAATCTAACAGTTTATATTAGTACCTATTAATTTTGCCATGTAACTTGTAATTAGTAACTGCTTGGTTAGCACAAAACTAATCTAAACGTAATCCAAATGTACTCAGATTACGTTACTATGCATTTTGTAATTTAACATTATATTACTGAATACAAATTTTTTTATGTCATTTTTAAATAGCAACTGCTTGGTTAGCACAAATGTAATCCAAATGTAGTCAGATTACATCACCATAAATGTATAATATAACAAATTACATTACTGGCTACACATTTTGTCATGTAATTTGTAATTAGCAACTACTTGGTTAGCACAAAGTAAATATAATCTAAAAGTAGTCTGATTATGTTACCAAAAATATATAATTTAACAAGTTATATTAATGACTACAAATTTTATCACTTAATATGTAATAAGCAATGGATTTGTTAGCACAAAAGTAATCTAAATTTAATCCAAATGTAGTTAGTTTACATTACCATACATTGTATAATCTAACAGATTAAATTACTGACTACAAATGTCATGCGATTTGTATTCAGCAATTGCTTGGTGAGCACAAGTAATCTAGATGTAATCCAAAAGTATTTAAATTGCGTTACCATTAATATATAATATAGCACATATTACTACCTACACATAATGTTATGCAATTCGTAATTAGCAACTGCTTTGTTAGCGCAACGTAATCCAAAGAAAATGTAATCCAAAAGTACTCCGATTATGGTACCATAAATATATAATCTAATAGATTTTATTACTGGCTATAAATTTTATCATACAATTTATAATTAGCAAATGACTGGTTAGCACAAAAGTAATCTGAATGTAATGCAAAAGTAGACCAATTAAATTACCATAAATGAATAATCAAGAGATTATATTACTACAAATTTTGTAATCAATAACTCATTGGAAAGCACAAAAGTAATCTAATTGTAATCCAAAAGTAGTCAGATTACCATAAATGTATAATCCAACAGTTTAGATTACTGCCTTTTAATTTTGCCATGTAACTTGTAATTAGTAACTGCTTGGTCAGCACAAAAGTAATCTAAATGTAATCTAAATGTAGTCAGATTACGTTACTATGCATTTTGTAATTTCGCAGATTATATTACTGACTACAAATATTTTTATGTCATTTGTAAATAGCAACTGGTTGGTTAGCACAAAGTAATCTAAATGTAGTCCAAAAGTAGTCAGATTATATTACCATGAATGTATAATTAAACAAAATATATTACTGGCTCACATTTGGTCAAGCAATTTGTAATTAGCAACTGCTTGGTGAGCACAAAAGTAATCTAAATGTAATCCAAAAGTAGTCTGATTATGTAACCCTAAATATATAATTTAAGAGATTTTATTACTGACTACAAATTTTGTCACTTAATATGTAATTAGCAATGGATTGGTTAGCACAAAAGTAATCTAAATGTGATCCACTAGTATTTAGATTACATTACCAAAATTTTTAAATCTGAAATTATATTACTGACTACAATACGGAATGTAACCCAAAAGTAATCGAAAAGATTACGTTACCGTAAATGTATTATCTATGAGATTGTATTACTACAAATGTTGTCATGCAATTTGTAATTAGTAACTGATTAGTTAGCACAAAAGTAATCTAAATGTAATCCAAAAGTAATCAGATTACATTACCATAAATGTGTCATATAAGGGATTACATTATAAATACATATTTTGTCATGCGATTTATAATTAGTAACTGACAGGTTAGCACAAAAGTAATCTAAATGTAATCCAAAACTATAGAAATGATTAATCTAAGAGGTTATATTACTTTAAATTTTGCAATCAGTAATGGATTGGTTAGCACAAAAGTAATCTAAATGTAATTCAAATGTAGTCAGATTACTTTACCATACATTTTATAATCTAAGATTATATTACTGACAACAATATAGAATGTAATCCAAAAGTATTCAGATTACGTTACCGTAAATATATAATCTACAAGATTATATAATAGGTTATATTACTGACTACAAATGTTGGCACTTAATGTGTAATTAGCAATGGATTGGTTAGCACAAAAGTAATCTTAATGTAATCCAAAAGTAGTCATATTAAATTAATTTAAATGTATAATCTAACAGTTTATATTACTGCTTATTAATTTTGTCATGTAACTTGTAAACAGTAACAAATTGCTTAGCACAAAAGTAATCTAAATGTAATCCAAATGTAGTCCAATTACATTACCATACATTTTATAATCTAACAGATTCAATTACTGACTACAAATTTTGTCATGCAATTTGTATTTAGCAATTATTTGGTGAGAACAAAAGTAATCTAAGTGTCATCTAAAAGTAGTCCAATCACCTTATCTGAATTACCTTAAATGTATAATGTAACAAATGATATATTACTAGCTACACATTTTGTCGTGCAATTTGTAATTAGCAACTGCTTGGTGAGCATGCAGTAAATGTAATCCAAAGTAAACGTAATCCAAAAAGTAATCTAATAAGAAAGCAACAAAGATTTAATGTAGTTATTTACGAAATCTTTCATAAGATAACCCTTGTTTTGTTTGTATAGTCTACATTAACAGAGAAATGGATAAAAATATATGAATTATTAAAAGGGGGTGTACTTATCCATGCTGAGCACTTTACATATGCTATTGTCAGGATAATGATATTGTACTGATATATATCGTAGCGGTGTGTGTATACCCTGCGACAGCTTGCGCACGTATCCCTCATTGTCCACGATGAAGTGAATGCCAGCAGATGAGTTCATGACGGCTCGAACACAGCTGACACAGGTAAGTTGCAGGAGAGCGTCTGCGATTCGAGAGCATCCGCGTCCTGACAGCCGGTCCAGAGCCTCCAGCAGCAGATCCAGACCCGACAGCTCCAGAAACTGCACCATCCAGGCCTCCTCGCTGCCCTCCAGACGCTTCCGCAGACCTGAGTAGTTCACCACAGAGGGCACCTGCCGAGAAGAGCTTCATTCTTTGATAAAAAGTACATAGTAGACACACAGAGCTGAAGTCTAAATTATTCTGTGAATTTTTTCTTTTCTTTTTCTAATATTTCTCAAATGATGTTGAACAGATTCAGGAATTGTTCACAGTATTTCCTATAATATTTTTTCTTCTGGAGAAAGTCTGATTTGTTTTATTAGGCTGGCTTGTGTAGCAAGCCAGACTATTGTTATCCTATTTTTCTTCTGAGACTAAAAATTAAACTCTATCTCCTCCTAGAGCTTTCAAGCTATGACCACCAAACTCACATCAGACCTCCAAACTGGTCTGACTCGGGTTGCTATATCTTTTCTGACTGACCCGACTTTTGGTTTTCCGAAAAACGTAACGGGACCGTCTGAAAAATCCCATTGACTTAAAATTGGACCAAACTTTGTGACCTCATAACTCTGCATCAGACTGTCCTACAGGCTTCTAACTGAGCTCATTTAACTCAGACTACCTAACTGCCAATAACTGATGAGCTTTTTACTTTCTGGCCACACCCTAGCAACCACTTTTGGGACCCTGGAAACTGTCCCATAGACTTCCACTGCAAAAGACTGTCGCACAGACTTCTAACTGGGCTCATTTAACTCAGACTACCAAACTACCAATAACTGATGAGCTTTTAACTTTCTAGCCACACCCCTAACAACCAGATACGGCACCCTAGCAACGGTCCCAAAGACTGCCATTATAGAGGTTCAGATTGATATCGTCATGCTGCAGTGTGATAGAGACATGGGTGTTGCTTTTAACTGTTCATACTGGCAAGAAGCTTTGATACATCATCAGTCTAAGCTGTCAATCCACTCCATAGCAACAAAACAGACTAACCTAGCAACGATATAACAGCAGCTATATCTCAGTATCAGAACATCGTAGAGAAGCGGGGGTTGGCTTGTTTGACTTATGCTAGCACACCATCCATCCATCCCTCCATCATCTATCTATCTATCTATCTATCTATCTATCTATCTATCTATCTATCTATCTATCTATCTATCTATCTATCTATCTATCTATCTATCTATCTATCTATCTATCTATCTATCTATCTATCTATCTATCTATCTATCTTTTCATACTTTTTTAAAATTGTTTAAACTAAATAAACTATTACTATCAGGCTTTCACAAGCCAGCCTCAAAGTTTGTTCTCAAACTTTAAGAATCTAGTTTCGGCTAGAATAAAAGCAGCTTTTCATGTTAAGGTCAATATTATTAACCCCTTAAAGGGAAACGTCATCCTAAGCTAAATTTGAACAAAATGTGAAAAGACATCTAGAAAGACTGCAGATTGGAAAGACTTCAGATGGTTTGGAAGGTCTGTTTTATTGTTATGTAACAAAGTCTGCTATTGGAAAGCTCCAGACTCAGCTGGATTAATAGAGAGGCATGATACCTGCAGCAGGCGTATGCACAGCTCAGCGTCTGCATTCTCCAGGTTGGCCTCCTGAGGGCCGTCTGAGTCCTGAGACGAGCCTAGACGACCCCTCACCGCAGCCCATTTCTGCTGGGCTCCCTCTGCCTTCATCGACATCATGATGGAAACAGCCTGAGGAGGAGAGAAACACACACAATATGATACTGACATTGCGATATTTTGTTTTTCTGATATGAATATGGTTTGATGGATTGGATTTTCTGATAGATGTCTGCTCCAGAATGGAGTAACACATATCTCTTTTTATAATCTTATGATTATCAATAAAGTCAAATTTTTAGGGTGAACTTTAAACAGGGGTCACCAATGTCCATTCCATTTCCATGTCGTTTTTGTGCCCCGAAATGATATCTGTGGCCATGCAGCCCAGCCCTGCATTTGAGGAACTGAGTCACATTTGGTTTGGGTGGAGTGAATAATTTCCCACCACACACACTCATATTGAGCAACACATTAAAAAAATGCAGGAAGGTCAGAGTCTCTATCACAAACCCTCATTTAAAAGGGAAAAAAAGGAGAGTAAAGACATTCTTGAGTCCAGGTTTTGACTCCAGCAGGTCTGAACTGATCATTTCTCTCCTCTCTTCATGCAGGGTTAACATACGTCTGACAATCTGAGCTGTTTTTTTACCGTAAGATGATTTCGGTGCAGGTTTTGGCATGAGATGCTGAGTGATTCAGTTTCCTCAGCAAGAGTTTTCATGGAACAAATCCGGCTATAATTACACATCCTATAAAGAGCCTTTAATCATCACTAAAGTGAATAATTTGAGATATAGCATTAACACACCCATAAAGTACACACACAAGAGCCTCCAGCACACACACACACACACATAGAAATATAGACACACTGAGATATAAACACATATTTATAGCACTTTACAAAGATTTCAATAACAAATACTAAAAAGAATGTTTTACAAGCAAATATTACAACAGTACACGTTTAATTCAGTGTGTTTTTACTGACAATTTCTGAGTGAAAAATTTTCAGATACCAGTTTTTCTTATGTGTATGAGGTTCATTTTTATATTACATCCAAATATAAGCCTTTTGGGTTCATTTTTGGAGCTGTTCACATTTATTACACAATGCAGAATGTACAAAAATGCAAAAAAAAAAAATATATATATATATATATATTATAAATATTATATATATATATATATATATATATATATATATATATATATATATATATATATATATATATATATATATATATATATATATATATAT